ATGTTGGACTATCTTTCAAATTGTTTTTCGCGTGTAGAGTCGTGTTTTCCCAACAGTGGCTTTATTATCCTTGGTGACTTTAATAAGTTAAACGTGTCGAGACTAAGATCGTGTTATAATCTGAAACAACTCGTAAACTTCCGCACACGTGGGAATAATACGCTCGATATAGTCCTAACAAACATGAAACACGTTCTACTCAGGCGCGGATCCAGCCTAAACCCTGACCGTGGCGCACTCCAAAACCGTTAATAATTAGGGGGGTCCGGGGGCATTCCCCCACGGAAAATGTTTGAAATTTGAACCCGGAATTGCCATTTCCTGAGTTCTGAGCATCGAATTCTATCATATAAATCGTCATTAATTACGCCATATTTTAGAGAGCAAATAACGAAACGCACTAAATAAGTCAAATATTTAAACAACATACCATGTTCTTCAACGTTACAACATTAGAATATTACAAAATCACTGTACTTACATAAAACCACAACTCTGTACCGCAAGTACTGTTCCTGCGTATTTCAGGTTCTTCGTAGCAAAAAATATCCAATTAGGGCTGTACATCGAACTCAATCATCTTGGTGTTTCAGTTGCAACGTAGGTCTTTTACGGGGTGGGTTTTTTCAGCTGCACATACATCGATACCAAGTGTCTTATTCTCGATCATTCGCTTAAACTGTGTAGCACGGAGAGTTGCCGTTGCGTGAACATTGGATTTTTCACCATGCTGGACAGCAAAAGCACTTGGAGGAAGAGCACTGGTCATCACTAGTTGGAGGTCGCTTGCATTATGCGTGCTTTCACTGCCAAAAAGAACACAAGTGACGCAAAAACCAACGTTTGAAGCAGCAGAGTAAGCCAACCATGGAAATCGTGATAACCATGCCAACCGGAAACGTCTACCAATATTTTCGCGTGGAGGAAAAGAAAAATCAGAACCAGGTTTCCAATGGCAATGATTGCACAGAGTTTCGTACTTTTTCGAATCAGGAAGACTGGACACCGGATTTACGTAGTTGTAGATATCATTTGGCCACGAATTGGTGGAAGTTCGTTGTGTTTTGGTGTTAGATTTTTCTGAAGTAGGACCAGTATTGGGAGTTACAGATGAAATTCCTTTACTAGTGCTGGGAAATTTGATTTCACTATCTACAGTTTCTTGTGTGTTGCACGCTCGTTTCACAAGAAGCGCGTTGATCTAAGCTACTTTGTTTTCTTTTTGGACCAGTCGTCTGCTTTTTAGTAAATGTAGTCACTTGTGTAGAGGAAGGACCAGAAAAAACTTTAGTAGAAACTTTAGGAGAAACTGTAGGAGGAACTTTAGGATGAACTGACATCGCAGACTTCAATAAGGTTGGAAGGTGTGCTTTAAAATAATGGTCTCGTGGCTGAAGTGCTTTAACTGGTTTGCACAAGGTAACAAAATAAGTTTTGGTAGATAAAATTCTTCGATCAACCAAATAAGACGGTGGCATCGCAGCACAATGAAAGATATGGACATATTCAATTGCACTGCCATCAAGATAATCCCGTAAATATACTGTATTGTACAATTGAATCCAAGGAAACCCGAATTTCTTTCGCTACAATATCGTTGGTGAGTGGGTAGAATGACTGAATTGCACACTGAATTACTGTGGGCAATGCAAACATGCACACCATGGATGAGAATGTGTAATTTTTTGCAGTTTCCTTTGCTTCTTCTAAAACTGCTGCATTTTATTACAATTCTAGAAAAAAAGGAAGAGCTGCATCAGATACACACATGGCAAAGGCATTTTTAAGTGTAGTGAACGCTATTATGTTTTTATGCTGGTACTCACTGAAGGAGTGGTTTAGCATAGTATTTGGCATTCTCAAACAGTTCAATACTGGTGAGGCATCTCAAGTGAGCAGACAAACTCTCATTCCCGATTAACGCAATAGAACATGCATTAAAGAGACAATGAAGTACTGAAAGAATTTAAGCATTCAAGCATTTAAGTATCAATGGTAAAATTTGTAAATATTCTATTGAAACTTTTAACCAGAATGTCAACTTCTTTGCACCACACAGTAATTATGTGATTATACTTTGCAAACTTCGCTCAAATTATCTGGAGAACAAATGTTATACCTTGCCGTTTGAGAAATAGCAAGGAACCATTTGTTTTCCCAAATGTTTTCCCTCCTTTTGCTTGTATAATCATGGGTCTCGTTCCATATAACTTTGTGCCGAAAGGATAATTACTAGAATTAGTCAGGGTAATCAATAGAACTAGAGTTCGTTTTAAGGTAAGGACTGGAGATTAAATTTTGGAATCATTAATATGGAAATTGAGCCATAATCATAATTATTTTAACAATGAGGCCCCCTACAATGTCTTTGTGTAATTTGAGTAACATCATGATGACATCAAACTCACAGCTGGCCTTGACTAACTCATGGGATTTTGTTGCAGTTTTAGATTCGGGATTAGGTTTTAATGTCAGGATTAGGATCAGGATGACATCATCCACAACAACATCAATATTCATGCACAACAAGCACCTGTGAGGTAGTCACCCCCCAGGGGCCAGTTGTTAAAAATATTTGCTGTGTTGGTGTAATGTACTCTGGTGAATAAGATGGTTGTGTGATGTTATTAGAGTGTTATGGTTAGTAATCTAAGTGAGAATATATACATTTTAAGACCTAACCAGGAACAACTGCGAAAAATGCAGCACAAGGTCCTTTGGTAGGAAATGAAGCTACGGTCCTGCGATTCCTACCAGAGGACCTTGTGCTGCATTTTTCGCAGTCGTTCCTGGTTAGGTCTTAAAATGTATATATTCTCATTTGGATTACTAACCCTAACATTCTAATATTAATTCCACTAAGTGAAGTGCAAGAATCCAAATTGTGTCATGTTACTCTGAGTGTATATCCACACCGGGCAGGCTTGAAAAATATGCCTGGCCACGGTGGGATTCGAACCTATGATCTTTGGCAAAGGCATTGGGAGAACATTGGGCTAGTATTCCTTGGCAGAGCATTGGGTTAGTATTCCAAAGTTGTAGGTTCGAATCCCACTGTGGCCAGGCATATTTTTCAAGCCTGCCTGGTGTGGATATACACTCAGAGTAACATCACACAAGCATCTTATTCATCTAAGTACATTACACCAACAGTCCAACACAGCAAATATCATGATTATTAGATTACACTGATATCGAAGGAACTAGACTCAGTTCCAAAGTATTGCATACTCAAACAGACCTGACCGCATAGCTCAGTTGGCAAAGCATTGGGCTAGTATTCCAAGGGTCGTAGGTTTCAATCCCACAATGGCCAGGCATATTTTTCAACCCTGCCCGGTGTGGATATACACTCAGAGTAACATCACACAAGCAATTTAGAAATATTTCTTCAGAAATCTTGTCTGGATGAATGAAAGTTTTCTTCAAAGCTGCGAAGTAAACAGGCATGCAGAAACACACAAACAAAAACACTAGGTTAAATTTTAACCAAGGATTAGCCTTAGCTTAGAACAACCGACCCCTGGTCAACCTACAAATATTAAGGCGCTATATTTTAAAGCTTGGTGAAACCAAATAGACGACTATATAGACCCAATACAGTAAACATTTCATTTTACAGTCGACAATCAAATGTTGTAGCCGTAAACTGTAGCAAAAAACTGATAACAGTTTTAAACAGAGTTTTTACTAATATTTCACGACTACATAGCGGATAAATGCAATTTATATTTTATTAACCGCCATGTGTTCGAGATCATATTACTATTTCACTAACAAAAATTTACATCCATACAAATTTGCATGCACAAATTTATATTCCCTGACCCCAGCGTAAATGCAAATTTAATATAAGTCGATTAAAAATTCTTACCTAACAGGAACATTAGGCCCAGATCTTTCAGTTTGGCTCTTGGAGAACTGCAGTTTTGAAAATTCGCACGTTGGCAGCACGATGCCTTTCTTCAGTGATAAATTCATCATATTGTTGCCTCAAGAGCGATAATTCCCCTGAAATATGTTCGCTTAGGTTTGCTTGTTGAAAGATTTCGACGAGCTTGCTAAGAACATCGACTTTTTTTAAAAGCTTCCATCCTGATAGCATCCATATAGTTTGTGATGTATTATTCTTTATCCCGTCAAGTCGACAAGTATCGAACTTTATTGTTGATCATTTGTATTGCGCAATCAAAACAGCGCCACCGTGGCAGACCGTGGCGCACATGACCACAACTTGCCCTGTGATTGGTTTGCAACGCTGCACCGTGGCAGAAAGTTACTATATTTAGTAACAATTGCGCAATTTTTTGCACGCTGACCGTGGCATTTTGTGGCTGTGATCGCAGCTTCGAATTTACGACTGTTTTCCGAACATATTCGGCACAATTCGGCACGCTTTCGGCGGTTTTTATAGTTCAGTGTTTAACTGGATAATTATACTATTGAACAAGGAATATATTTCGGAAGTTTTTCCTGCTTTTAGCACATATATATTACTGTAATATGAGAACAATTACGAAAGATATTATTCAAATTGTTTGCTATAGACCTATATTTGCTCAATTTTGCTGTATTTCAAAATAACTAATATACACTTCTTAAAAATGCGTAAACAGTCTAATGTAGTATCCAACAAAGGTGAACCCCGGAAAATCTTAGGTGGGAAAAATCTGACCGTGGCTCGAGCCACTTTTGCCACGGTCTGGATCCGCGCCTGAATCCTGTGGTCATAAGTCCATGCATGTTTTGCTACATTAGATCCAGTGTACTGGATCTAATGTAGCAAAACATGCATGGACTTATGACCACAGGATTGACTTTGAAAACGCGGAAGTTATCGATAAGGGAAATTTTAGGACCCGAAAAACTCTAGAGTCATGGCATACAGCCTTAACAACTGATGCTGACAACAATTCATGTTCACTTCCCGGACAATATACTGTTCTTATAAAAAAGCAGTCATAGTTGACAATACACACTCATATTTCATGCGCAATTATGCAAATCTTTCTGTATATACAATAATAGACTATAGTTTCATATTTCATACACTCATACCCGTTGAAGGCTACAGATTGGTAGCCGAAAGCTTGTAATAAATATATATTTTTGGTCAGAGAACGTCTATTTTATTATTATGTTTCATCCTGGCCGCGCATCTGCCTCTATTTTTTCAAGATTTAATACATATTTTAAACATTCTTTCCAAATGAAACAAACTAAATTTTTAGTTCCAATGTTCACCTAAACTTTGTTCATATCATGTGTAAATTGCGATTGTTTTAAATATTACCCAGAACTGTAAATCCTTGAAAGGAATTGGTGTAATTACTACCTTGATGCATTTAACAATCGTTTTTGTCAAATATAAATTGACAGTAGGAGCCGTGAAATCAGCCAGTTTAGTGTAGTTTGAAGAATAGCAGTCTGCATTTGCAGTCGATAAAGCTTCTTGGTGGAAGGCAACTGATAACGTTCCTCCTGGAATAATATCTTCATCCAGATGAGAGCCAGTCTCAATCAATATTCTATTTATCATTACGGCATCTTTTAATTTGATGATGATATAATCTCCTTTCTGCGGTATCATCGCCCAAAAATATCCTCTTTTAATGTTGTAAATATCCTGCAAACTATATCCTCCTCCATAAGTAAGTGAAGTCGTTAGTTTTGCTGGAGGATTATCCGCAGTGAAGTAGTAGTTTTCACGAAGTGGTAAAGGAGGTGAAATATTGTTTACATGATGTGAAAATCTAAACTGTCTGTAAAAGTTGAGAATTGAATTGACTGGCATCTGATTCCCAAGTAGATCAATATATTCAATCATTGCAGGAAAAGCTTTTGTTTGATAAAACCTCGCACTTAAAATACCTTTGACGTTGTCAGCCCAAAGCCACGTACCAGTCAATGTTTTCACGTACCCCAAAAGACGGGATATTATGTTACCTTCGACAATAATATGATCCGTGAACTGGATAAAATAATGTGATTCCTTGAGGGAATATTTCCACAAGAATGCCATATCTGTGACAAGTGATTTGGCTTTGTTTACGTAGTTGGTGCTATATGAAGTTAGATATTCCCAGTATTTACTTTTAAGACCAGTTGTGATGTGCTGTAATCCTGGCGTGATCAGTTTTAAGACTTTAAGTTGAAGCAAACGGCCGTAATTTTGCTTTATTCTTTTAAGAAATTGGGAGGTATATTCCGCAGAACAGTTTCGTAAGACGATAATGATTGACAATTGCTGCAGATTGAATTCATCCATATTTGAAACCAATGATGTAATGGATCTTTCTAATCTTTCTGATCTATTACATGGTTCTGTGTGTAAGTAACCAACAGATAGAAAACCTACAAAGTAGAGAATGAGGTCAGTGTAATGACTATATGATGACGTGTGCACGATGTATTTGCAGATAACCTTTTTAAAATCAGGATAAAATAAAGGGATTGGTTTTACTCTTCCATTCTATTGTGTTTTCTCGGAAGGGTTTTGAGGGTTCATAATGCGAGACGCGAAATAAGACAACGGGATGCACAACAGGAATAATACATATATGTATTATTTCTATAGATGCAACTGAGGATGATTCCAAGGAGATGCGGAACAAGGGATGAGATGAATCTACGGAAAGCGGGATATTAATAAATTAATCACAGGGATTTAAAAACCCTATTGTAATATTGCCAAGTCGATCGAGGGAGCGCAGGAATTTTTTATAGAGGAAGACCATGCCTACCAAATCCCCCAGCGATCACATGGTTCTATCCAGAATCAGCCAGAAGTGTTTCCGTTGCTATAGTTGCTAAAAGAGAATAACTGAACTAAAGAGGAACTTTTACCCAATGGCCTCGTTTCCATGTTAACTTATTTTAGCATGTCAGGGGCAGATACAGATTATATTCCCATGTTTTGCTAGACGAATTAATTTTCAACCCTACTAAGCACAAAACATGAGTAAGTATTTGACACGAAAACGAGGTCATTGGATGAAAAGTGTATAAGTCTATTACTTTCTCAATAAGTTCTTACGCAATACAATTTTAAATTTCTTAAATTTACAACTTATAACCGTTCCAACCGATACATTAATGAGGTGCCAAGGGGTGGTGATTGGTTTGGTAGCCCCCTCAGTATGTCTTTAGATTTTGGGTTCCCTATATCATGTTTCGTTCTGTTTGCAGTGCGCAGTTCTAAATTAGATTTTTATCGTGAAATGTTGCAAATAATGATTGCCTCTTAATTTGCATAGGTAGCAGAATAATGCTTTGGTTGGTTCCGTGGGCATGTTTCCCCAGAAAATTTTGAAATCTGGTTCAAAACCCTTGGCACCCACAGAAATTGTTTCAAACCACGTAACGGGGGAGTCATGAATACTCAATATATAATAAGTTTAATTTGCATTTGAGGCATTGAAGAATATTAGAAACTCTTACATTCTAATTTCTTTCGAGGGCCTTCGCTCGCTACAATTTTAACCCCTATTCCGTTTGTAGTTATATGAAAAAGGAATATAATGGAGTATATCTTCCGGTTAAATCGCTCGCACGAATAAGAATAAATTACGTAATGTCTACTTTAATTAATATTTCGCAATCATTGCTCCAACGTACAGAAATTGTGTCGTGAACGGGCAAAGGCCGACAAGGCGGCTTACTGTTGTCAAGTAAAGGTTTGTGATATTTTTATATTTTTAGACTGATAATTTCCAACATTTACGATATTTAATTCGGTACTTAGGCCACTCTTACGATATTTAGGCTACTCTAATTTGCACGCATTTACATGTACACGACTCCAAAATGCTAGCTTGTCTATGGCGTTATATGGGCTATAAAAGAGCACTCTGCGCATTGCGGTATTTAAGTGGTTGTGATTTGTGGTTCGAACGGAATTGATTTAACACTATGAGTCTATGAATTTTCAACTGAAATTACATGTAATGTCTGCTTCAAATAATCCTTCTATACAAATATTAAATATCCAGTCTTGGCTAGCTCAGCTGCATCAAATATTACGAATAACATGCCATGCCGCAGACTGTGAATGACCCAATTTAAAGGATTACAGTTTAAAGGATGATCACATTTAATACTACAGTTGTATGTGTTTAAAAGTATAAATCTTTGCCATTGGAGCATCTAAACCGAATATTAAATTTGGATCTGTGGAATTCCGAACATACCAAGGCAAGTCATTTGTGATGTTCACAGAGCGTACAGCATAAGGGTATGGAAAGCCACAGCTGTAACCCTTACCAAACTGACAGATATGTGGCAGATATATGTCACAGTTCTGTAAAATATCTGCAAAATATATGTCCGAAAGTATCTGTCACATATCTGCAACATATAGGAATTTGGCCCCATAACATATCTGTCACAGTTATGTGACAGATATCTGTCACAGTTATGTAACAGATATCTGTCACAGGTATATGACAGATATCTGTCACATATCTGCAACATATAGGAATTTGGCCCAATAGCATATCTGTCACAGTTATGTGACAGTATAGTTTCCCTACAGATAAAATTATCTGTATATTATCTGCCAAGCAGATATGTCACATAACTGCAACCAAGTGAGTTTTATTTCTTGCATAAAACTATTTCCTCTTACTTCTGCAACATCAAGTTGCTGCAAAGGTACCTCTGTCATGTTCACTTGAAGCCGTAATAATTTAATATGAAGAAATACTAGGTCAGATTATTAAATGTATTTATTAGTAAATATATAATTATAGGTTACACATATAATTATGCACTGTACAATCAAATTTTCTACAGAGACCAGTTGTTCAAGGCTGGATTAGGTTAACCCTAGGTTAACCTGACAGCTTGTCTATAAATGTAGAAATATTTCTTCAGAGATCTTGTCTGGATCGATACGAGTTTTCTTCTCTGAAGTTTAA